AGAGAGGGAAAGACGCGCTTGTCTTGAAGAAGATGAAGGTTGGGGGTGAGGCTGTTTCTTTGGTGGGGGAGATGAAGGAGGAAATGGTAGAAGCAGCGCCAGAGGGGGCGAAGGAGACCGCCCAAGTGGTGAAGGAGGACAAGGGTCCGAACGCCTAAGTACCGAAAGAACACTTGGGCCCAAGTGGCCATATGGTGACAACGGTGGTACTTGCACCAGAAGAAAGCCCCAGTCCCAGTGAAGGGAAGACTGGGATCAGCAAACAAAAGACGAGTGCAGCACTGGTGACCGCGTTATACCACGCGCCTGCGCTGGCAGGTCGCTCAGCAGAAGGAGAGGAAGCCAGGGTCGTAGTCGATCGCCTTGTTGGAGTTGTAGAGGATGCGGCTGTACGGTCAATGGCGCGGTTGACAGAGGCCGGCCTCTTGAGAGGGTTCTGTTCAGCCCAGATGGAGGCAGCGACCCTGGAGACTGCCCTAATGAACAAAGCAGCGCGCTCGAAGATGGAGGTTGAGCCGCTGAGGGCCCAGTTGAAAGAGGCAAAGTTATAGCTGCAGAACCTAAGGGTTGAGATGGCGGGGTGGAGGAAGGCTGCTTGGAGTGTATGCGTCAAGGGATTGGAGTATGCGCAAAGGGCGAAGAACATGGAGGTATTGGCGTTGGTGTAGAGCTACTCGGCGGAGCAAGCTAGTGCCGAGCTCCTCACTACCAAATCAGAGTTGGAAGCGAAGCGCCACAAGGCGATATTGCTAGAGTTCGAGTTGGCGGGTGAGAAGAAGAGGCTAGAGGATGCCCAGCAAGCCTGCACCACTGCCAACGAGAGGTGGAAGGAGGCCATGACCAGTAACGAAGATCTGCGGGACCAGGCGGTCAAGGATAAAGAAGGGGCTGATGGTCGGATCGCGGCATTGGAGAAGGCCCTGGCGGAGGAGAGGACGAAATTGGCATCTGAGAGGGCGACGTACATCGACCTATGCATGGTGGCCGTAGAGCAATTCAAGGAGTCCACTGACTTCCAGATGGTCATAGATGCCGCCGTCGCCAACATCCTGGCGAATGAGGGGAGTGGGGGGCTGGGCTGTCGGGAGCGGCCGCTGGAGGTAGGAGTGAAAAAGAAGTGATCTAGAGCTTCCAGTGGTCTCACTTCTACAAGCATGAAATAAGCGAGTTCTGGGACAGCGGCTGGATGACTTTCAAGCACAAGGCGCATGAGCTGTTCCCAGACGTTGACTTCAGCCTTGTGAAGGTAGGCGAAGACGAAGTTGCCCAGACCCCCCTGGACGAGGGCATTGAAGAGGAAGATCTTGCTTCTAGCGAGGAAGATTGAGCTGTGTGACTAAGTGTAAAAATTTTATTTTTGTTGTGTTTGTTTGTTTGTTTTTTATATATGTAACTTCTGCAACAAATTTTATGAAAGTGTAAGTTGGTTAATAAAACAAAGAGTTGTCTTATGTATTGTTGTTGTTTTTGTGTTTCTGATTTGTAAATTTGTGCGTGAATTGTAATGTGCAATGGTCAAAATGGGCAATCAGTGAGAAGTGACCGTGATGGGAAAAATGTTAAAAATGAACAATCAATGAAACTTTGACTAGGGAAAATCGATATGAAACTTTGATTATAAAAATGGGCGAACCATGAAAGCTTGATATGAAATTTCGTAAGTAAGCCACGATTGGAAAAATGTTAAAAATGGGCAAACAGGCTAGCTTGTATGATTAGTGAAAATGGATGGTCACGAACTTGGATTTTAACTATGGCAACCATGTCATGATATTAAGTTGTGAAAATGGGTTGGCCGAATTTTTCGTTCGAGTTCTGACTAAGACTTGGAGGGCTCTGCCGCATTGAGTCGGTCTGGCTGGGCTCCGCGTGTTCAGTCTGACCGAGACTTTAGCTAACTCAGCATGGCTGAGTTTTCCATGCTCAGTCTGGCTGAGGCTTAAACTAACTCAGTCTGGCTGAGCCTTGAATTAACTTAGTCTGGCTGAGCTCTTCGTGCTCAGTGTGGCTGAGGCTTAAACTAACTCAGTCTAGCTAAGCTTTTCGTGCTCAGTTTGGCTGAGGCTTAAGCTAACTCAGTCTGGCTGAGCTCTTCGTGCTCCGTCTGGCTGAGACTTAAACTAACTCAGTCTGGTTGAGCCTTGAATTAACTCAATATGGCTGAGCCTTTAACTAACAAGTTGTTATTGAATCACGATGCAAGTAATAAGGTCATTGTCATTGAAAGCACAACCTGTGGATCATAAGTTTACACCAAGGGAGTAGTACAAAAAAGGAAAATGCAACAATGGAATGGTACAAAAACATGAAACACCATTTTACTGGAAATAACGCTTCAAGTGCTCAGCATTCCATGGATAGAGGAGGTCTCTGCCTTCTATGTCTTGGAGTCGGTAAGTGCCTGGGCGAGGTCTGGCTTTAACGACGTAGGGTCGTTCCCATTTGGCTGCTAGCTTTCCCTCAGCGGGATTTTTGGTGGCAAGAGTCGCTTCGCGTAAGACAAGGTCCCCCACGGTGAACTCCCTTAGTCGGATTTTACGGTTATGGTGTGTTTTCATTTTCTGTTAATACGAGGCTCGTCTGACAGTAGTGGTCTCTCGGAGCTCTTCAATTAGGTCTACGTCAGCCCGACGCAATTCTTCGGTTATTTCTAGATCCAGATGTAAAACCCTCGGGGTTGGCAGGCCGATTTTTACCGGGATGACCGTTTCAGCGCCGTTTGTTAAGCGAAAGGGGGTCTCCCTAGTAGGGGTTTGGGTGGTAGTGCGATAGGCCCAGAGTACGTTTGGTAATTCCTCAGCCTAGAGTCCCTTAGCGGCTTCCAACTTAGTTTTGATGATTTTCAAGAGAGAGCGGTTGGTGACCTCTACTTGTCCATTAGTTTGGGGATGACCTGGGAAAGAAAAACATGGTTGAATGTGGCATTGTCGAATTGCTTTCCGTTGTCTGAAACGATGGCTTGAGGGATTCCAAATCGACATACGGTCAACTACCAGATAAATCTGGTTGTGTTCCATTCAGTAATTGTGGCGAGGGGTTCCGCTTCCACCCATTTGGTGAAATAATCAATGGCGACTACCGCGAACTTGGTCTGGCCCCTACCGGTGGGTAATGGACCAACTAAGTCGATGCCCCACTTGGCGAATAGGTAGGGACTGTTGAGTGTAATCAACTCTGTAGATGGAGCATGGGGGATGTTGGCACAGCGCTGGCACTTAACACACTTAAGCATGAATTCGGTGGCATCTTGGTTTAGAGTAGGGCAGAAGTAGCTAGTGTGAAGTATTTTATGGGCCAGCGATCTGGCACCCGAATGATTATCACATACACCCTCATGGACTTCCCTCATCACATAGGTCGCTTGAGCTGGACTGAGGCACCTGAGGTATAGACATGAAAATCTACGTTTGTACAGTAGGCCGCTGATAGGGATGTAATTGGACGACCGGGCTCTGACTTTGGCGGCCTGCTGTTGATCAACTGGCAACTCCCCACTTGTCAAAAACAGAAGGACGTCCGTCGCCCATGAGATAGGTTCATTTTGGAGGAAGTGGACCTCTTGCTGGGTTGGTGAAGTAGTTGGGTGGTCCAGGTATTCAAGACGGATGCCATGGCTGAGGTCTGACTGGTCGGCAGAGGGTAATTGGGCCATTTCATCTGCCTTGGAGTTTTCTGACCGAGGGATATGTTTGATGTGACAAGTGTTGAAAAGGCGAACAAGGGGGAGTGCAATATTCTGTAGGTGCGCATGGTGTCTTCCTTCGCGTCGAATTCCTCCATAATCTGTTCGACGATCAGTTGGGAATCATTGAACACTAGGATATGGCTCACACCAATGTCTTTGGCTAGGCGAAGACCTGCTATCAAGGTCTCATACTCGGCCTCATTATTACTCGTGTCGAATAAGAAGCGAAGAGCACACTTGAAATAACCACCCTCGGGGGTGGTGAGAATGAGACCAGCCCCACTGCTTTCTTTCTGGGATGATCCATCAACATTGAGGGTCTAGGAGTGGAGATCTTCTGTCTCAGTGTTGAGTTGTTTGGGCTGAGGGGGCGTTGTTGGAGTGGAATTAGTGAATTCCAAGATGAAATTGGCGACAGCCTGCCCTTTGCTCGCCGTTCGAGGTCGGTAAGAGATTTCTAATTGGCTGGGCTCGACAGGCCATTACATAAGTCTGTCGGACGACTCTGGCTGTTGCATTACCTTCTTTAAAGGTTGGTCAGTAAGGACCACTATGGAGTGAGCTTGGAAATAAGGCCGGAGTCGTCTTGAGGCTATGACTAAGACAAAGGCCATTTTTTCCAACAGAGGGTAGTTCTGTTCGGCCCCCCTGAGAGCTCGGCTAATGTAATAAACCGGACGCTGTACTGAGCCGTCCTCCCTGATGAGGGCCGTGCTGACCGCGGTGTTCAATACGGCTAAGTAGAGAAAGAGGGTCTCGCCAGAGAGCGCTTGAGAGAGTAAGGGGGGTTGGCCATGCACTACTTCAATTGTTGAAAGGCCTCTTCGGATTTGGCGGTCCACTAAAAGGCTTGTCGAAGGACTTTGAAAAAGGAGAGGTACTTGTCTGTTGCGCGAGAAATAAAACGGTTGAGGGCAGCGACTCTACCGATAAGTCTTTGGACCTCTTTAACCGTTTGAGGTGATTGCATTTCTATCAAGGCCTTGATCTTTTCGGGGTTGGCCTCGATACCCCGTTGACTGACCATAAAACCCAAGGATTTCCCAGATCCTACGCCGAAGACGCATTTCTCCGAATTCAGCTGAATTCGATACTTGCGTAAGGTGTCGAAAGTCTCCCGCAGGTCTGTCAGATGATCAGAGGAGAGTTTGCTCTTGACAAGCATGTTGTCGACGTATACTTCCATGTTCCAACCAATCTAGTGATGAAATACGACATTGACCAACCGTTGGTAAGTTGCTCTGGTATTTTTTAACCCGAATGGCATAACACGATAGTGGTAAGTTCCCCGGTTAATGATGCAAGAGGTGTGTTCCTAGTCAGCCGGGTGCATCAGAATTTGATTATAACCGGAAAAGGCATCTATGAAACTGAGCATCTGATGGCCGACAGTGGCATCGACGAGCAGATCGATGCGGGGGAGAGGGTAACTATCCTTGGGGCAAGCTCGATTAAGGTTGGAGTAGTCGACACAAAGTCGCCATTTTCCATTATTTTTACGGACCAGGACCACATTGGACAGCCATCTGGAGTAGTTCACGTTCTTGACAAACCGTGCCTCCAGTAGTTTGTCTACCTCGGAAGTAATAAGAGCATTGTGTTCCGGGTGAAAGATACGCTGCTTCTGGCAAAAAGGTCAAAAATGAGGCTCGATACTGAGACGATGAGTGATGAAAGAGGGATCAATACCCGACATGTCGGAATGGGTCCAGGCAAACACATCGTTGTGTTCGATGAGGAGAGCTGTAAGGTCGGCTTTGGCTTGGGAGGATAGTTGGCGTCAATCTTGGCCGTTTTTGTTGGGTTGAAAGGGTCGATGGGGACCTCAACAAGTTCTTCCACTGGTTCCCCTCTAACTAATTCGTTTTCATCTTTGACGTCGAGGCCTTTGATGATCATAGCCTTCTTCAGCTTGACCTCTTTGAGAGAAGCGACGTAGCATTCTTTGGCCACAGTCTGCTCTCCTCTTACGGTGCCAACCCTGAGGTCGGTAGGGAATTTCATGGCCAGATGGTATGTGGATATGATAGCTTGAAAGGCGTTAAGGGCAGTGCTACCGAGGATGATGTTATAAGCAGAGAGATAGTCAACGACGAGGAAAGTGACCAACTTGGTGGTCTGCCGCAGATACTCTCCGATAGTGATGGAAAGATCGATGGAACCCATGGAGGTCACTCGATCCCCAGTGAAGCCGACCAGTGGGGTTTGGAGAGGCGACAAACTTTCTTCCTCGACCTTGGGCTGGCGATTGACATTCAAAAAGATAATGTCTGAGGAACTGCTGTTGTTGACAAGCACCCGTCTGACTTTGTAATTGGATAGAAGAGCAGAGATGACGAAGGGGTCGTCGTGAGGGAAACGGATGCCTATACAATCGACCTCTGTAAAGGTGATGGGCTCCATCCACTGTTTGGGGTGTTTGAGAGGGCACTCCAACGTTGCGACTTCTTTGTTGGAGCCCTGTCTAATTTTTTTGAGTTCGACTTGCTAGGCCGAACGGGACGGTCCTCCGCACGCAAGTCCGCCAGCAATGACTCTGATTTCTCCAACCGGGGGGCAGGGTTGCCTTGTGCTCGGGGTTGCGGCAGGGGCCGATCATTGCCTTGGTTAGGGTGTGCGGGTTGTCGGGGAGGAGTGTGTCGGCGGTTGCCTCTAGCAGGTTCGGTCCTCGACCGTTGCTGGGGACGGGCTGTCGTGAATTGACTGAGGCGCCCCTGTCGCATCAAGCTTTCTACCTGGTCTTTAAGGTTAACACATTCCTCGGTGTTGTGGCCGTGGTCCTGATGGAAACGTTAGTATTTGGATTGCTCTCACCGGTTGGAAAGAGGCTGTGAGGGTTGTGGCCATTTCAAGTTATAATCTCGCTGGATTTAGTTTAAGACTTGTTCCATGGGGGAGTTGAGGGGTGTGTATCGTTCGAACCAATCGGGCAGTCAGGTAGGTGCCGATCGGTTGGCGCGAGCGGTTCGGTTGGTATACTGGGGTGTTTGTTGTGTGTACTGGATGGTTCGGGTTTTAGATTCCTTTCTCTTCTCTCTGAGGGTTGGGTTTTTGGTTATGGAATCTTGTCAGGCGGCTAGTGAATCTTCGGCGTTCATGTACTTTTGAGCCTTGGAAAGGAGGGTTGCCATGGAGGTTAGAGGGTTTTTGGAGAGGGAAAAAAGAAAATCGGATGATCGTAAACCAGCCATGAAAGCCGTGAGAATGACCTTGTCATCGTTTTCTGCCACCTGCAAGGCTTAGTATTGAAGCGGGTGACGAAACTGCGCAGCAACTCCCTCTCCGACTGACGGATGTTGAGGAGTTGGGTTGCCAGACGCCGCTGGCACTGGACACCAATGAAGTGGCTGAGAAAGGAGTCACTTAAGTGTTGGAAAGTAGAGATAGAGTCGGCCGGCAACTGACTAAACCACAGTCGGGCCGACCCCTTAAGTGTTACGGGGAAAGCCCGACACATGATCTCATTAGGGAATGCTTGGAGGACCATCAGGGTCCTGTAAGTCTCCAAGTGGTCGACTGGGTCCGTTGTACCGTCGAAAGAGTCGATTGAGGGCATTTTGAACTTAGGAGGTAGGGGCTTGTCCCTGATGGAGGCGACGAATTGTGAGTTGGCGGTGGTGGAGGGTTTATTCTGCATGTTCTGCATGACTCATTGAAGTTGGAGTTTCATGGCTCGGAGTTTCGCATCCCAAATAGGAACGTTGTCAACACCAGAATGGAATGGAGGCTGGGCACTATTGGCCTCTCCCTCAGGAGCAAGTGCTTGGACTGGTGGATGTGGAGCCCAGAGTGGCGGGTTCATTTCTTGGGGCGGGGGTCGCAAACCCTCCAAGTTGGAGAGGTGGAAGTTTTGGAAGGGATGGCTCGGGGTTTGTTCTCGGTTTGGTGGGATATCTTGAGGTGGTGGAGGAGGCACATGGAGGTCTCGTTGAAGCAAAGCATTAATCAGGGCTTGGTTTTGCTCGGCTAGGCGGTTAATGCTGTTAGTGAGTTCTGTGAAATACTGCGATGGGTCGTTTGGGTTAGGAGGGTCAACTTGGGGGTCGACAGCATTGTGTTGAGAAGCCATGGATCTGGTTGTGACCATCCTTCTTGGTGGGTGGCTGGTAGGGACTATCGGGAATGGGTCTCTGGCGATAATGAGCACAGTTGCCGCACGGAGTGAAAGGATTCCCACAGACGGCGCCAACTGATGATGCTACTTGTTTCTGGGCAACAGGTCGGGTTGATCCAGGCCTCCCACACGGTTGTCCGATCGCTGGCCCACTGAGAGACCTGCACAAGAGTTCAATGGGGAATGAGAGTGCCCCAGCGAACCCTCCGATGAACAAGTTAGAGAAGGGGAATCAACGGAGTATAGAGATAGGATAGTGATAGAGAACTTAACCTTCTTCCTGTCTTAGAAGCCTGCTTATATCCTTTGCTCATCATTTCCTTGTCCACTTCAACCTGTCATGTCGGTCGAAAGTCTATGTTCTAACTTGCCTTGTTCATGGTGAGGCTATCCTGTTCCGTCGTGAAGGGGTTATCGAAATAAATGTTGCAGGGAAACTCATTAATGGCTGATGTGTGATGCAATAACTCTGCAGGATCTTTGTCTGCTTATGTGGTTGATTCTTCTCTTGACAAGTGTCTAGATGTCATTGGTTCTTGGTGCAACGCTGGGTTCCAAGAACGTTGGGTTTTAGCATTTGAATCATGGGTTGGGCCTTAAGTGGTGGATCAAAAACCCCTATGGGCCCACCTATGTCACAACCTATAATTAATATTTAATGTCAAAAGTAAAGGTATAAATCAAAATTAAATGTCAATATATTAAATAATTTACAAACCATAGTTTAATTTTAAAATTATACTAAACATAAAACAAAAAATAAAAAAGGAATCTAATGAAAGGAGTTTTATTTTTGTAGTAGAAGAAAATATTGTTTCAACTGAGGAACGGTATAACTTGGATATATATTAGGTACATCTAGGTACGTCAAAAATTAAGAAAAAAAAATTTAAGTATAATTTCATGTACTCAATATATATATAAAAATATCATATAAAATGTCATATATTACTAAGGCCAAGTTTGGCATATTGTAAAAAAGTCAAAAAGTAAAAAAGTTACTCAAAAAGTTAAAAAGTTAACACTATTCACCAAAAGCCAACAATTACGGCTGCACAACCCCCAATTCTAATTTTTCCCTATTCATAAAATAATCAATTTTTTCATTTTTTTATTACACATTTTTCAATAAAAAGTCAAAAAGTTAACCCAAACATCCATATTTTCTTCCTCAATTTTTTAGTCCAAAAAGACAAAAAGTGCACTTATTTAGGACACCCCAAACAACTCCTAAGGCCAAGTTTGGCATGTCCAAGAAAAGTTAAAAAGTCAAAAAGTTACTCAAAAAGTTAAAAAGTTAACACTATTCACCAAAAGTCAACAATTACGGCTGCACAACTCCTAATCTTAATTTTCTTCTACCAACCATTTTTTATAATTTTTTATTACACATTTTTTCATAAAAAGTCAAAAAGTTAATCCAAATATTTATATTTTCTTCCTCAATTTTTTAGTCTAAAAAGACAAAAAATACACTTATTTAAACCATCCCAAACAACCTCTAAATACTTGATATGAATATAATATATTTTTCGAAATATCCATTGCTGTGAGAATGATTGACACAAATGTAGTGTGAACATGAGCACCACAAGAGAATTATGAATGTCAAGTTAATCCCAAACTAGAAACACATAATGGAAAGTATACTCAATGCATTACCAAAAACAAGCAAGCACAAATGTATAGTAATAAAATGGTTTACCCTCTTTTGGGTTGCAATCATTTCTCAACTTCTAAAGCAAATTAATGACATGCTCTCTCTCTCTCACGCACCACGTCCTCGTTCGTACACAGTGTCCCATATGAACTTATCTTCAAACTCAACAGCTGCCACACCCACAAAGAGGGCCACCCACCCACCGCCACTACGATCACCATTTTTATTGAGCAATGCCACGTAAAATAATACGGTTTACCTCGAAATATTAGAGACTTGAATGGTTTAAAATTTTAAAATGATATTGTTTTAAAGATTTTTTTATTCTCTTACCGGTAAGATAATATTTTTCGTACCATTCGAGCAATTTGAACTCTACATATTCGAGCTACGGATCATTTTCGAAAAAAATATTACTATTATTCAAGATGGAATCAATATTTCATAATTGGGCGGGTAGGAAGATATTAAGATGATTTGTACATGAGAGGTGGTCCGATTGAGGAAGCCTCCACTTACTCAACCAATAAGAGAAGAAAAATGAATCACATGACATCTATCCTATTTACACCCAAAAATTTAATTAAGGCATATTTAATTTTTTTTATCATTTAAATAATTTAATTAAAAATAATTATTACAATATTAATTAGGCTCATATTCTTTCACATGTGTTCAACCAAAAATGGTGGAAGAGAATTGCTATGGTTGTATTTAGATTATAAATTTGACTAATGATAAGAAACAAAAATATGAGAGAAATAGAGTTAGAATTTAACTTTTATTTTAGTCACATTTCTTACATTTTGTCTATTATTTTCACAAACCTTTACTTAAATTCCAGATCTAATCATAACCTAAAGAGAAAAATAAAGAGAGGAATGAAATTATAAATAGAAAGGCAAGAAATAAGAGGGGTCATGTATCAAAAATGGTTTCACTTGTTAATAAATTGCCCTATATCTATAAGGAGTTCAGCAAACGGCGGGGGGCCACGGCCACCCTCAGTCCATGAGTTCCGTTCCTGTTAGTATCCTATGGTTGTGTTTAGATTATAAATTTGACTAATGATAAGAAACAAAAATATGAGAAAAATGAAGTTAGAATTTAACTTTTATTTTAGTCACATTTCTTACATTTTGTCCATTATTTTCACAAATCTTTACTTAAATTCCAGATCTAATCATAACCTAAAGAGAAAAATAAAGAGAGGAATGAAATTATAAATAGAAAGGCAAGAAATAAGAGGGGTCATGTATCAAAAATGGTTTCACTTGTTAATAAATTGCCCTATATCTATAAGGAGTTCAGCAAACGGCGGGGGGCCACGGCCACCCTCAGTCCATGAGTTCCGTTCCTGTTAGTATCACTATTTTTATTGAACAATGCTACTTAGAAAAAATATTCATAATTTAAAATGAAATTCATCGGAAGTGTTATATACATTATATTAAATTTAAATTGATATCAAATATTTAAATTATGAATTTTTTTTAGATTTTTTTTCCTAAATACAGTATATTTATGGTAAGTTTTGATTTTTTTTCCTAAATACAGTATATTTATGGTAAGTTTTGAATCAAAAAATGTTTATGGTAAATTACATTGATTTTCCTTGAGATTTAGAAA